CACCGCAACCTCCGCCTCCTGGGTTCAGGCAATTCTCCTGCCTCATCCTCCTGAGTAGCTGGGATTACAGGCACGCACCACCATGCCCAGCTAATTTTTTGTAGTTTTAGTAGAGACGGGGTTTCACCATGTTGACCAGGATGGTCTCGATCTCTTGACCTCGTGATCCACCCGCCTCGGCCTCCCAAAGTGCTGGGATTACAGGCTTGAGCCACCGCGCCCGGCCTGCATAAATTTTTATCAATGAGCATCTTGTAGTCAGAAAAAGAAAAGAAAAGAAAACAGAATACACCTACAGGGAAGACTGTGTGGGCATTTCCCAGCCTTACCTTACAGTATTCATCAATTGGTATCAGGCGTTTGACAGCCACGTCCCGGATGTGGCTTCGTCTGAAGAGAATCTTACCTGCAGAAGATGGGAGCAAAGACAGTGTCGTCAGGGAACAGGGACAAGCTCTCAGCAACCTGAGAGCGTGTGTACGTGGCTGTTTCTAAGGCAGGTCTGAGTGGTGCCAAAATTCCTGGCTGTGATGAAGGTACCCCTGCTGGACTTCGTGGGGCTTGGATAAGCCCATGTCAGGTCCCCTAACCCCCGTTCACAGCTTTACCTCAAGAACTTGGGGGAATCGGACCCATGGAATACGTTTTGGTGAGATAAAGGAGGCTGAAAACAACTGTGGAAGGAATCTGCTCCTACCCGATGAAGAAAGCAGGTTGGACCCAAGGATGTGAGGTCCTGTCCAACTCCAGGATTCTGACTGGGTGAGCAGGACAGTGGGTAAGCAGACATGCCCTCAGCAATAGTTCAGTCTCCTTCTCCCGTTTCTTCGTTCACCTTCTGCTTTCTCCTCATGTTCCCTAAACACCCATGCTCTACCATTCTGAGCCCTCCCCTCTGCCTGCACACAGCCCATGCAACCCCACCACCCCTCATATGGGTTAAGACTTTTTGGCTCTTTCTGACTGCACACATTATTTATTTTTATAGCACTTCTTTTCAATTTATTAAATTATATTTTAATTTAAAAGAATTTATTTAAAGTTATCTAATTAATTATTTAATGTTTATTATATATAATATATAATTAAATATACATTATTTAATTAAATTTAAAATTTAATTTTTAAAAAGCACTTCTTTTTAATTTATTTTACAGCACATTCTCCCTCCCTCCCTCCCTCCCTTCTTCTTTCCTTCCTTTCTTCCCTCCTTCCCTTCCTCCCTCCCTCCCTTTCTACCAGTCCTATCACATGCGCTGCACAAATAGGAACTGACGGCATCTCAGTCCATTTTGTGACACTAATGTTTGATAAACGTATGAATGTGGCTTCCACCTACAAAGATGACAAATCCCTCCAGTTCCTTCCCCAATTAGTGTTTGTAAGAGAAGGGTTTTGAGTCCTCCTATTTCACCCAGTATTAACCGAGAGTCCACTAACTGCTTTATGACACCCCAAACTCTGGGGCATAGGGCTATGAACCACCAGCATGACACATGGGTAGAGAATGTGGGTCACAGGAAAACACGGGTATACGCATGATGCCACTGAAGATCTCTGGAAATGTCCAAGACATTGACATATCATGGGCGACGTTTGTTTAAAGCAAATCAGTGGGCTCTCAAGAGTCTAGATAGAATATCCTCTCTTTGGGAGATGGAGGTGAAGTATACAAACTAAAGATTAAGACCACCTGGCTCACCATTCTGGATCTACCATAGTCGGAGGTGGGGGAAATCAGAAATAAGACATAAAGAAGGGCCAAAGACACGGGGGATGGAGATAAGCACCTCTACCAAGCACATGCAAAGTGACCAGGGGGAATCTGTGGGTAGGCCAAGGGGAAGGCGTGGGAGGACCACAGCTGCTCTGGAGAGCACAGCATGGAGACCTACTAAGAACTCTCTATATTTTCTGGTCCTAGGATGTTGGTTAAAAAGACAAATTTGGGTCAAGAGCCTGGCAAGGTGAGGAGAGATTACTATTGATCTAAGATGGCTTCTGGTGAGACGGCCATCTCCACAGATCAAGCTTGGGTGAGCAGGGATAGGACGGCACAGAAAAGGCTAGTAAGGGCTGGGCACGGTGGGTCATGCCTGTAATCCCAGCACTTTGGGAGGCCAAGGCAGGTGGATCACTTGAGGTTAGGAGTTTGAGACCAATCTGGCCAACATGGCGAAACTCTGTGTCTACTAAAAATACCAAAAAAAAAAACAAACCAAAAAAAACCAAAAAAAATCAATCAGCCAGGCATGAAATGCATGCCTGTAGTCCCAGCTACTCGGGAGGCTGAGGCAGGAGAATCGCTTGAGCCCAGGATGTGGAGGTTGCCGTGATCTGAGATCACGCCACAGCACTCCAGCCTGGGTGACAGAGTAAGTGAGGCTCCCTTTCAAAACAAAACAAAACAAAAATTGTTAGTACAGTAAGAATTTTCATAATATGACAGAACTGGAAGGGATGCTGAAAAACAACCCTACTGACTTTTAAAGATTTGCAATGCAAAGTGGTAAAGGAGATTTGCACCCAAAAAGACCATATGGCTAATCCAACATTTTAAATAATTGGACAACTTTCTCTGGTGCCAAAGGACACTATTTGGAAACTAGGTAGACATGGTAAATTAAAAAAAAAAAAAAAAAAAAAAAAAAAAAAGAGATAGAGAAAGGCTTTTTTTCTCTCTCATTTTCACCAATTAAAAAAATATCTAGGCTGGGCATGGTGGCTCACGCCTGTAATCCCTACACTTTGGGAGGTCGAGGTGGGTGGATCACTTGAGGTCAGAGGTTTGACACCAGCCTGACCAATGTGGTGAAACCCCGTCTCTGCTAAAAATACAAAAATTAGCTGGGCGTGGTGGCACATGCCTATAATCCTAGCTACTAGGAGACTGAGGCAGGAGAATCGCTTGAACTTGGGAGGTGGAGGTTGCGGTGAGCCGAGATCGTGCCATTGCACTCCAGCCTGGGAGACAAGAGCAAAACTGTCACAAACAAACAAAATCTAGATGAATCAGCTTCTCAGAGTTCAAAGTGCTTGTCTTTGAGGAATAGAAGGGAATTCTGGTTTTCTTCTTTACACTTTCTCCTCAGTTCCTGCCGTAAACACTTATTGCTTTTAGAATCAGCATATTTTCATGTCATTAGCAAAAAAAGTAAATGAGGCAGTGAAGTGGGAGGGGTTTTGCAACTGGATTTCCCTGGAGCCAATGATCTTATTCACTGAACAGGTACAACCTCTGTGTGAGCCCTTTCTGTGCCATGCTTTGGGGCTAGTGGGGAGCAAGACGGCTGTGGCCTGCCCTCCTGGTCCCGACAGCTGGTGTTTCCCGAAAGCAGGGGAGGGGGACCTGCTGGAGTTTGGGCGGGGCAATGCTTCCCTGGACTGGCCCCGCCCTATAGGGTGTTTAGCATCCTTGGTCCAAATCCAGATGAAGCTGGTAGCTTTCCCAACTCCTCCCACCTCCAGTCATTGTGACAATCAAATACTCCCCATCTCCATTTTATTGTCCTCGTAGGTGGAACCACTTGCAATATAGAACCCCAGGAATGTCCCGAGCCTTCAGGAAAAACAAAGAATGTGTGCCTATGAAGAGAAATCCTACCCAGCAAATGCTCCCTGCACTCGGATTTATTTCTCAAAATGGGAGAGGGGTCCCTAATCAAAAATATTTTGGTCCCCTTCTGTAAATTTTTCCTCTGTAAAACAGGGGAAGGGTCGAGGAGGGTGTACAGGCATCTTACTGAAAAGGTCGTGAGCAGGCTCCAAATATCTCCAACCTCACGGGACAGCGCTGGCCCATGGCAGTAGGCACAGGCTTGTCCTGAGGCTGCCACCGACAGGAGACCAAAGGTAAGGATCCATGCAAGCCTCGGTCTACAGGAGCTGAGAGGGAACAGAAGACTCGGGCGCACTCAGCATTTCCTGGGGGGTGACACAGGACAAAACTGTCACTCCTGTACCTGTGTGACCTCAGTGAGATGGTAATCTCTGGATGCCTGTCTGGTGCCCTGCCAGTAATGAAGGCAGGATGCCCTGTGGCAGCAATGGGGCCTGCTGGAGAGGCTCTGCAGTCAGTGAGGCCCTGGCCAATCCCAGGCAGTGCCGCTTTGGGGAATGCATTTACTTTCCGGAGCCTCAGTCTCCTCATCTGTGAAATGGGACAGTAGCCCCTAGCTCTTAGAAGCCATCTCCATGATACCCAGCACAGGGGTGGCCCTTAGTAGGTGCTTGCAAAGGGGCAATTCCTTATTATTTTTTTTAGACTTTAGGTGACTCATGCACTCCCAGTTTTCTTAAACCTGCCTCCTATGGGCTAATTTGTCATTTATCCATGGCAGAGCCCGAATTGTGGCTCAGGTCCTGGCCGTGGGGCAGAACCGTGTGGCCAGTGGTAGGCATAGGAGCCAGCACTTCCTTGGCCTGGGCCTCCCTGCTGAGGTGCCATGGGCAGCAGCCCTAGCCTGTGCCTGACGTGAGGTGTTTCTGAGAGCATCTCCGGGAAGGAGGGGGAGCTGGCTGCCTTCCTGGGGTGGAAAGGGTGTTCAGAGGCGAGCACAGCCTTTGGTGGGAACGGTCGGCTTTTGTTTTCCACCGTGGAGGAAGGCCAGACTGTAATTCCCATTTTTCAGGCAGCATCCTCTGCCAAGTTGGCTTCCCCAGCTCCTGCTGGGATGGAAAACTGTGCAGGCTGCTCTCCCCTCCCCCGTCTTTGTGCTAACAAGAGACTTGCTTTTGTTCTGCTGACGCGGCAGTCTTGGCAGAAAACTGACCCTAGAAGAGGGGGCGCTTCTCTGTGCTTCCCTGCCTTGGCCTCACCCTCGGCCTCGAGGAAAAGCTAAGAAGCAGCTCAGAAGGGGTGGTCCGGGGTCCTGGGGCCCAGCGGGACCTCTCCAAGCCACAAGTGGGTGCCTTGAGCAGGGACCAAGTCCCTGGGAAGGGTATTTTCATCAGTTCTTTGGTGGAGAAGGATTACGTAATCATGAAAGCGTTTAAGAGCTTGGGAGAGGGTCGGCTCAAGTTCTTCTCTGTCTTGGGTTGTTTTCCAGAGCTGGTTTTGCCTTTTTATCCAGTAAAGAGTTAGAAATCACCGCTTTCCTTTCTTGATTTTTTTTTAAAAAACCCCACATTTGGAGTCCAGTTTACCTTGAATATCCAGAATGGTCATTTAAGGAGGTCTCTAAGGTGGGAAACCAAGAGATTCCAAAAGCATGTCCCAGGACCCTGTTTCTGCCTTTACCAAGAATCTACTATGTGCCAGGAACTGGATCTTGTGAACTAGGGGTCATTGTCCCATTTTTAACAGATGTGGAAACTGAGGCTCAGGGGGATGTCACTTGCCTTGAGGTCACGGGCTGGTCTGTTTGACTCTGAAGCACACGTTTTGGAGCGCTGACATTTGGCTGTCGCAGCTGGCCAGCTGGGTTTTTTTCCAGCAGGAAAGAAAATTCCAGCACGGTTGCACACTTTGCCAGTGGAGGAACTACAAATGTTAGCTTTTTTAGGTGAAGGATTCTCCCAGCAGAGGAGGCCTGGCAAACATGTGTGCCCTGTCTCTAAACCCATTAAATGATGGCAATACCTGAAGAACTATGTCCTGGACTAGGGGGTTGGGAGACTGGACTTGTGACCCAGGGAGTCCCCCACTGGCTCTGGACCTGTTCCCTTCTCTGAAAAAAGATGTTCTTTTTAAAATTTCTGAGACAGAGTTTCGCTCTTTCGTCCAGGCTGAAGTGGTGCGATCTCGGCTCACAATAACCTCCACTCCCCAGGTTCAAGCCTCAGCCTCCTGAGTAGCTGGGATTATAGGTGCCCACCACCACGCCCAGCTAATTTTTTGTATTTTTAGTAGAGAAGGGGTTTCGCCATGTTGGCCAACTTTGTCTCCAACCCCTAACCTCAGGTGATCCACCCGCCTCGGCCTCCCAAAGTGCTAGGATTACAGGTGTGCGCCTGGCCTTGAAAAAATATCTCAAGGGCCCACCCAGCTCTAAATATCTGTGACTTGGGGGGATTGTCAGATTGTTGATTTTCAGTACATAAAACTCATCAAAGTGCTTGATGGCTGTTAGCAACCTGCTAGGCATTTACATAATCATCATAACAACTTCATTATTTTAGTACCATTATAATCTCCAATTTGCAAATGAAGTCATCTACCCAAGGTGACAGAGCTGGTGAGGGGGGCATGCTGGGGTTGGAATCCAGGCTGTCTGACTCCAGGCATGAATTTTGGAGCCAGCCATACTTGTGTCTGAACCCCAGTTTTGCCATCTGTGCAAGGGCCTATAGGTTCCCTGAGCCTCAATTTACTCATCTGTGAAATGGGCACAGTAATGCCTATTCTGCAGGGCTGCTCTGAGGACCAAACGAGGTAATGAATGTAAAGCACTCAGTGACTGGCCCGCAATAGGGAGCAATTATTATACTTGAAGCAGTAATGTTGGTTTGGGTAACCCCTCTCTTTTTTTGAGACAAAGTCTCACCCTGTGGCCCACGCTGGAGTGCAATGGTGAGATCTTGGCTCACTGCAACCTCTGCCTCCCAGGCTTAAACAATTCTCCTGCCTCAACCTCCTGAGTAGCTCGGATTACAGGCTCCCGCCACCACGCCCAGCTAATTTTTATATTTTTAGTAGCGATGAGGGTTCACAATGTTGGCCAGGCTGGTCTCGAACTCCTGACTTCGTGATCTACCCACTTCGGCCTCCCAAAGTGCTGGGATTACAAGTGTGAGCCACTGTGCCCGGCCAGGGTAACCCCTCTCTTTGAGCTAAAGCCATGACACCATTCTTTGGTAAGAAATTTGGGGGGATGGAGACTGACTGCCTTGGGAACAGAGACTACACATAATTGCATTAAACACAGCACAGCAGCTGGTGTGGTTCATAAACTTTCTAAAATATCCCCCAAGGATGTGCCGCCCTAATCCCCAAAGCTTGTGTATGTGACGAGCTATTATATGCCTTAGACCTTAAAAGGGGGAGATTATCCTGGATTAGTCAGGTAATAATCGTTAAGAGTCCTTAAAAGCAGGCAGCTTTCCCTGACTGGTGGCAGAAGGCGAAGTCAGAGGGATCCGAACCCAAGTCAGATTTGCTGCCCCACTGTTGGCTGTGAGATGGAGAGGGCTCCTGTGATGAGCGATGTGGGAGCCTTTTAGAAGCTGAGAGGGTGACAGCCAGCAAGGAACAGATCTTGGTCCTGTAGCCATGAAGAAGTGAGCTCTGCCAACAATCTATGTGGAGGCTGGAAGCAGACTTTTCTCTAAGTCCTCCAGATAAGAGCTTGCTCGGCTGACATCTTGCCTTTAGCCTCATGAGACCTTGAGCAGAACCCAGTTGGGCTAAAAACTCTGCCTGCACTTTTGGCTCACAGATCTGTGAGGTCATACATGGGTGTTTTAAGCTGTTAAATTGGTGGTAATTTGTTATGCAAGAATAGAAAACAAATACCATAGCTATAGAAACAGAAAGCACTCACTACAAAAACTTACTGAGGCCGGACGTGGTGGCTCACGCCTGTAATCCAGGCACTTTGGAGACCAAGGCGGGCGGATCACCTGAGGTCGAGAGTTCAACACCAGCCTGACCAACATGGTGAAACCCCGTCTTAAAAAAAACAAAAACCAAACAAACAAAAAAACTTACTGAGCTTGAATTATTCCCATTTTAGAGACAGGAGCAACTGAGGATCCCAGAGGTAAAGGGTCTTCCCACGGTCGTTCATCAGCTAGTAAATGGTACAGCATCTAATGCCATAACCCAAGTACTTAGTCATTAGCCTACTGATGCTTAGCGTTCCATTATTGGAACGCTAAGTATGTGGGAGTTATTTATATTCTACTGCTCAAGGTCACCACTAAGGTCTGATTTTTCACTCATGCAAAAATTTAAAAAATTTGCAACCTCTGGCATAAATGGGTTAATTTCTACAAATAGCAGAGATTCTGGTCAGTGGGATGGTGTCCCCTGATAAAGGAAGAAAAGCTGATAAAGTGTCCCAAGGGTCTGGGAGTCCTCAGTGTCCCAGACTGAGAGCACCCATCTCACCTACCTGGCAGAAAGGGAATGATCCGCTGCTTAGGGTCCTTCTGTCCTCCTTCCATGGGAAATTTGTCCAACATCTGCATCTAAACAGGGGAGAGAACACCAGAAACAGAAACCTTTCACAAGACAATAAACAACATCTCGGACCTTTTAAAGGAAAGATGTGAAATATGTGATGTGACATACAAAAAGTTCACTTCATTCAGCTTTCCAGAAACCCAAACTAATGGGAAAGGCAATTTCAATTGGATCTAGAAACTCCATAAAAACAATGTTTATATCGACAGCTGCCAGATTTGTGAAGGTTCAGAGTTAGACCATTCCTGTCTTTCCTGGGGTTCTCCATCCACAGGATCTGAAACTTGAACAATATTCTCAGGGCCACCAGGATTTCATAGACAGCAGGTCATCTTGTTTTTTAAGAATTACTGGGTTGAGGTAAGGAATAAATCACTAACATTCAATCAGTGTGGTCAGGTTTATGCTTATGAGAGCACTGTATTCCCCTGACCCAGGGAGAATTCCCCAGGTTGGCTCAACAGATAGCTTTGGGCCTGGCTCTGTGCTAGAGGTGCAGGGTACAGCAAGGAAAAGATTCATAGTCTAGAGAGAGGACTGAGAAGAAACTGATCGTTACAAGGTGGTGTAAAGAGAGGCAGGTGTAGGCTGCTGTGGGGGAAGAGGAGCAAGAGGGCAGAGTCCCCAAAACAAAATGTATCTCTGACGCTTCAAGGACTTAATGTGAAATACCTGATTTGGCATACGAAATCACAAGGATCTGCTACTTACTCCCCATGTGGTCTTAGGAAAGTGACATAACGTTTTAGGGCCTCATCTTTAAGCCTGACATAAGGACACCAACTTGCAGCGTTATTTTATGGATTAAAACTGGGCCGCGGAAGTCATTAATGCTGTTGTCAAGTATTTCTGGTTCTTCTTCTGAGTACATGGTAGATTTGTACTTTCTCCAGTCCCTTGAAGTGGGATGTGGCCAGTTCCATGTGAGCTGGAGACCTGTGTCACTTCAGGGTGGAAGATGATGACTGGTGTATGCTATTTCCCTCTTCCTTGGGGACTGACCACGCTCCACTCCAGAGCCTGGCTTCTCTGCTGGCCACAGTCATGGGATGAGGTCCAAAGACCCCAGTGACCTCTGCTGGACATGTGGCCTGAGTGAGCGGCGACAAGATGCTCTTGTTGTACAGTGAGGTTACTTGTGTGAGCACCATCTTAACCTACCCTGTTTAGTACTCGGGTCAAGGAATCAAAGCAGATGGGGAGGCAGTCTCCAGCCTCGAGGAGTTATGCTTGGAATGTGAAAAGTGAAAAGCCTGCTCATGGGAAAGTCACTCTGGCACTCAAGATCTGTCCCTCTCATGTAATAAAAGAAGCTTTGAAAAGTCCAGGAGAAATGTGTGCAGCTATTGTGTAGGCATTTGGGGAGGAGGGGAGGACCTGAAGTGGGAGAGGCGAGAGATACGTATATTGAACACCCACCATCTGCTAGACATGGGCTAGGTTCTTTAGAAACATTTCCTCATTACATCCTCAGATCATTCCTTTAAGGAAGACACGACTGTCCAGGAAACTCAAGGCCTGTAGCCAACAAAGTGGGGGGACCAGAGACTGAAGACCACTTGCTTCTTTATCATCAAATCACCCCCCTCTGAAATGCTATGAAGACAATTAAAAAGGACAGGGCTGCTTTTCCAGGCTGGAGCTCCCAGCCTCTTTGGTGCTGTTCTACAGGATGCCCTGGGCAGGTGGGTCAGCCTCAGCTTGGCTGGGCATCCTGAAGCTGCTGGGATGCACGGCCTTGCCCCAGAAGTCTTTAAACTTTTAAACGGGGGGTTTTCTTTTTCCTTTTCTCTTTTTCTCCTTGGTCTCTAGCTAGAAGTTTATTAATCTTTATCGTTTCAAAGAACTGACTTTTAGTTTCACTATTTTTCTTTATTGTTTTCTGTTCTCAATTTCTTCTTTTTTGAGACAGGGTTAGCTCTGTCACCCAGGCTGTAGTGCAGTGGCACAGACACAGCTCACTGCAGTCTTGATCTCCCCAGGCTCGGGTGATCCTCCCATCTCAGCATCCAGAGTAGTTGGGACTACAGGCGTGTGCCACCACGCCAGGCTTCTTTTTTTGTACTTTGTAGAGACAGCTTTTGCCATGTTGCTTAGGCTGTCAATCTCTTATCTTAATTACTGCCCTCCTTTTGCATGCTTTGGGTTATCACTTTTTTCTTTCTTTGAGACGGAGTTTCCCTTTTGTTGCCCACACTGGAATGCAACGATCACGATCTCGGCTCACTGCAACCTCCACCTCCCAGGTTCAAGCAATCCTCCTACCTCAGCCTCCCAAGTAGCTGGGATTATAGGTGCACACTACCACACGAGGCTAACTTTATAGTTAGTAGAGACGGGGTTTCACCATGTTGGCCAGGTTGGTCTTGAACTCCTGACCTCAAGTGATCCACATGCCTTGGCCTTCCAGTGTTGGGATTACAGGTGTGAGACACAGCGCCTGACCTGGGTTTTCACTTTCTAGTTTCTTTTTAATTTTTAAAATTTAATTTTTAATTGACACATAATAATTGTATATATTCATGGGGTACATTAGTAATGCTGTGATTCACATAATATGTAGTGATCACATCAGCATACGTATTTAGCATATCCATCATCTTCAACATGTATCATTTATTTGTGTTAGAAATATTCGATGTTTTCTTTCTAGCTATTTGAAACTATATAATACACTATTGTTAACTACAGTCATCCCACAGTGCTATACAACAGTAGAACTGGCCTGGTGTGGTGGCTAACGCCTGTAATTCCAGCATTTTGGGGAGGCCGAGGTTGGTGCATCACCTGAGGTCAGGAGTTTGAGACCAACCCAGCTAACACAGTGAAACCCCGTCTCTACAAAAATACAAAAAAATAACTGGGCATGGTGGCAAGTTCCTGTAATCACAGCTGCTAGGGAGGTTGAGGCAGGAGAATCACTTGAACCCGGGAGGTGAAGGTTGCAGTGAGCCGAGATCACGCCATTGCACTCCAGCCTGGGCAACAAGAGCTAAACTCCTTCTCAAAAACAAAACAAAATAACCCCAGAGGCTAGAACTTATTCCCCCTATATAGCTGTGACTTTGTATCCTTTTACGAATCTCTATCTCCCCACTTCTTAGCCTCTAGTATCCTTTGTGCTACTTTTTACTTTTATGAGATCAACTTTTTAAGCTTCTACGTGTGAGAACTTCTGTTCCTGGCTTATTTCACTTAACATAATGTCCTCCAGATGCATTTATGTTGGTGCAAATGACAAGATTTCCTTCTTTTGATGGCTGAATAGTATTCAATTGTGTAAGCATATCACATTTTCTTCTTTCCTTTTTTTTTTTTTTGAGACAGAGTTTCACTCTTGTCGCCCAGGCTGGTGTGCAATGGCTCAATCTCAGCTCACTGCAACCTCCTTCTCCTAGGTTCAAGCGGTTCTCCTGCCTCAGCCTCCTCAGTAGGTAAGACTACAGGCATGCACCACCAAGCCTGGCTAATTTTTGTATTTTTAGTAGAGATGGGGTTTCACCATGTTGGTCAGGCTAATCTTGAACTCCTGACCTCAGGTGATCCACCCACCTCGGCCTCCCAAAGTGCTGGGATTACAGGTGTGAGCCACCGCGCCCGGCCCATGCCACATTTTTTCTATCCACTCATCTGCTAATGGGCACTTACGTTGATTCCACACCTTGGCTGTTCTGACTAGAGCCGCAATAAACATGGGATGTATTATCTCTTAGATATATTAATTTCCTTTCCTGTGGATAAATGCCCAGTGGTGGGATTGCTGGATCACATGGTAGGTCTCTTTCCAGTGTTTTGAGGAACCTCTACATTGTTTCCCATGGTGGCTATACAGGTTTATGTTCCCACCAACTATGTATAAGTGTTCCCTTTTCTCTACATTCTTGCCAGTATTTTAAACGTGGTTTTATTTGTGGTTTCTAAGTGTTCCCTGCTCAGTGTTGCCTGGTGAGGCGGAACTGCTTGGTCCACTGTCATTCAGAGATGGGTGAGGCCACACTGGGGTCAAGCTGGAAAAGGCAGCCTTTCTTTTGTGAATCCAAGAGCTCTTCAATGCCAGCACATAGTAGGTGCTCAATAAAAACTGGCTGAACCAGGTGTTGCTAGGGGGAGGTTGTGAGTGGGGAGGACAAGGGAGTATGTCCTGTACTTTCCAGTCAATTTTTTCTGAGAACCTAAAACTTCTCTAAATACTAAAGTTTATTAATTAAAAAAAAAATGACTGAACCAATGAATGCAACTGAGCGGACGCTTTGGGAGGCAACTTCAGGAGATGCTTGCTAAGTAACTCTGAGGAATAATATTCATATTACTAATATTAAATAATAATTAGTAATCACAACCAACATTTCTATAACAGTTCACAGTGAACACGTCCTCTCATATACAATTTCATGTGACCTTCACAGTAACCCTGTGAAATAAATGTTACAAGCCCCTTGTCAGAGATGAGGAAACTGGGGAGCAGAGAGGGCAGTGAACTTGTCTGAAGTCACACAGCTAAGTGGTGGTCCAGCCAGTCCAAGCATCTTTGTCTAAATTCCATTCTTTTTGCCTAAGACCACTCTTTGAAGCAGCTGCAGAGTGTCATCTGAACACTAATGTCAGCCTGAGATGAGGTGAGTTTAATATTCTGTGCACATGTGGACAGCATGCTTTCTTTTCAAAAGCAGAGCCATTAATCAGTCTCAGCTGTGGAGTATTTTAGAGATTTATAGGTTTTTGCCTAACACTATCTACTTTTTCCCTTCTCAATTTTATTTGTTAAGACAATGAAACATCGTTAAGGGGAACTTTTTTTTTTTTTTAAAAAATGCCCCAGAATCCGGCCCCCCCAAACACACTATTTCCAGTCTCCAAGTTCCTTTGCGATCCCCGCCTGAGTGTACATGTCAGCCAATGAGTCCCTGGCACTGCTGTGTTTTCAGTCCTGAGGGGTCAGTACTGCCTGGTCTTAGGAAGCTGCTCTCTCGCCCTTTGTCCTGACTTGGTTTTACCCAGATCAGCA